AGGGAATTCTGAGCAGTCAAAGTTGGCTAAAGTAAAGCGTTACATATGAACCGTGCTAGCCTCCGGGCTTTCAAAGTCGCCGTGGAGTAGTGGTAGTGCTCTCGAAATTTGCACTCCAACGGGAAGAGAACTTATGACCTTCCGGTGAAGAGCGAGGGCACTACCACTACTCCGCGGCGACTTGAAAGCCTGGAGGCTAGCACGGTTCATATGCAACGCTTTACTTTAGCCAACTTTGACTGCTCACAACTTCCTTGGCAGGTTCATTTTGCAGTTTTAGTTTCCATATTTGTAATCAGCGTTTGAAGCTCTATCGATATATCTGGGTCTCAATTCAAAGTTCCATGGGAAGTTGAATGCCTTCCTGGTTGGGGACGTAGAATTCAGCTCTGTTGGGTTTAGGTTCCAGAAAATCGACGCCGAGAATCGGAGCGCTATACTTCGACTGGTTGTTATTTTCGAGCGCAAAAAATGTAAAAAGTGCAAAAATTCGGCAAATAAGTCGGCAAACAGTTGGTACCCCATAAGTTTAGCTCACGTACTGGTGATGGCTGAGGAATTGCATTAGGAGTCGATCACTGCCTCTCATCGTGCCGCCGTACTGCTTCACAACGTCATCGCCTGGAAAAAGACTGCCTGACGATTCTGAAAGTTTCAAAAGAAGTTGGGGAAGAAAATCGAGTAGCAATCAGAAAATAAACAAAGGTGAAACTTTTTAAGCATTTTACCTTTTCTAGCTTCCAAACTCGATAGACCGCGTTCGATGTCAGGCTTTCCAAGGTCGGCTGCAGCTTTCTTCTCATCACCTGCAGAACACTACATTCTGTAGGTATTTCCGTTAACTTCAATTTAGGAACTCACTGCTTGTAAGGAGATTCATTTTGAAGTCATCATCGATTGATTGGACGAATTTTCCAAAAAGAATTTCCAGTTGCATCTGTACAACATTGATCGCCATAGTTACCACGGACAAACCAATAAGGATCAGCAGAAAATTTGCCACCGCCACTCGATGACTCGAAGTGACGTCACCGAACCCTAGGATACGGAAGTGGAGTGACATTGCATCAAAGTGAATCATCTACTATTTAACGCTCATTAACCCTTTTTAGGTGGGACATGCACGAGTGTCAGGTGCAGAAATGCAGAGCCACTTGAACAAGTACAGCAAATTCCTGCGCTTAGCATAGTCCTGTGCCTTCAGTTTTTAAAACGCTTTCCAAATTAACGATGATGAACAGACGGATGGGTCTGGGCAGAAAAGCCTGACACCTCAAACTTTTTGCTGAGCCTCTTGCTCTGCATTAGGGGCTTCTGTTTCAGCGTAATTACAAAAGCACATGTCAACAGAATCGTCAGCTTCGCCGCGCTGAAGGGCGTGCCCCGCGACGTTGCGACAAATGGACGAGTATGGTACGTGTCCACTTGCCGAATATCTGATGGGAAAAGAGAGATAAAGTGATGGAAAACATAG